CATGTATTTAAAAAGAAAAAAAATGTGCGGGTCCCACTCTTGTGTGAGTGGTCTATTGCATTTCTGTACGTTCAGCAAGCTTCTTTTTAACTATCGTTTTTTTATGAAAAACCAAGTGTCTTAATAATACATACATTTGTCCAGAACACGTACAGATACAAAAACATCACCTTCTTCTTTGTTGCCGCTACCACCACCCTCTTTGTTGCTGCCGCTGCCGCCATCTCCACCCTTCCCCTTTTCAGAACCAACCTCTTCATAGATGTCGCCATTTTCTTATCACCAGTCACCCTTCTCTTTCTTTTCTCCACCGTCAGCTCCCTTCCATATATCACCACTATCCTCTTCCTTGCCGCCGCCACCTCCGCCATTACCCTTCTACTTTTTAGAACCAGCTTCTTCCTTATTGCCACCCTTTCTATATTTTAAATATTTTTAATTCACAAGAATAATTAATTAATTAATAATACAATTTTTTTTTCATATAAGTTTATTACCAATTTGCATCAGATTCATATTTATAGGAAATTTCCATCGGAAATTACGAACGAAATTATTTCCGTAAGATATAATGTAGAAATTTATCAAATGAAATAACAATCATAATTTCACCGGTACTTTCCATCAACCTAATTCATCTCTAAAACTGTTTCTACTAGCTTCCATAGAATCTATCGAAATTTTCGACGAACTTGTATGTGTAGACAAATTTGTCGATAATCACGTTTTGATTTTGTATATTTGAAAAAGTCATCGACACATTATTGCCAAACACCACATGACATCGACATGTCAGAAACGTCAAGTGACATGTTCCAATTGCTTCTCGATTTTGTATAGTTGGAAAAATCGTCACCGCGCTAGTAGATACATAGACACCTACATAGACACGTGTCCAGAACTAAGTCACTAGGTGGCATGTTCAAATTATTTTTAGATTTTGTACGACGTCATGGGCATGCCGAAATAAAATAAAATTACTTTAGTATGTCAGAATCGTGTCGCGTCGGTACTTTTCAAACAAGCTGTGTCAAAGTGTCCATATCGTGTCATGTGTGATACTCATGTCCATGGTGTTTTCTAGCTGAAATATGCTACATGTACAGTCCTTAGTGGACTGCACATAGTGTGGGTATATAGTGTGGGCTGTAAATGTACAGTCCACTAAGGATTGTACATGTAGCATACTTCTTTCTAACTAAAAGTTGTCCAGACTCATCTCCCCTACCATCATCATCTACCCATATAACGCCCATTGTTGACACCCCTGAACCCATCAATTGCAGTAAGCATTCTACCATTCTAGTAAAGCCGCCATCATTTCTCCGTCCACCTCCTTCCTCTTCTCCACTTCCACTTGTGATGCCCCTATCCCTTCATCTATGCGAACTGTCCCTCCACTTAATCCTCCAGGAAATCTACTACCTTATGATGCTCCTTCAACCATTTCCACCACCTACCCCCCACCATCACTCACTCCAACTTCTGTTCCCATGCCAAATTATGCACCTGTTATAAACTGAGATGAAGTCCATCAAGAACTTGTGATGCTCGTTCAGGTATGCTCTTTTGACTTCAATTATCACTCGGCCAGTGTTCTTTGCCAAGTCCCTAGCACAACTCTCCCAGACTTCAAATCAGCACCTCTTCTTTGGTTTTATGATGTTATCTATGATTCTGCTGCATGCTTTAGTTCATCTCTCTGATGTGTAATGCAATGAAATTTATCTGAATGTCTATCTTTAGAATCTTAAGAATGGTTCTGGACGGTAGGTTGGACACGCTCTTGTATTCATCATGCTGAAATTCTAACCCAGGACTGGGTCACCACTCTTGAATTTTCACGACATTAGCCCTCAAGGAGAATGTACTGAAATGTGTTGGTGTGAACGAGTAAAAAAATAGAAGCTCCTATTATGTCTGGAGAGACCAAGAACTAATTAGGCAAAGATGTATAGTATTGAATTCTTGTAATCAAGTTCAGAAGTAATCCCATGCTTGTGCTTTTTATTTACTTCATGAGAACTTAACAGCAAGGAAACAGATACATTTCTAGAGTTCCCAATGGGAATCATCAGCGCAAGCGCTCGCTGCAATCCTTAAAATATCATCAGTCACAAGCTCCATGATTGCCTCTTGAAAACCGTCCAGTCTTCTAGTTCTATATTGTTTATGGTGTTACGTAAACTATTGTATCCATAAAAATCTTTTATCGACAATTGCCTAGGCAATTTCATTCCTAAAATCTCAACGGAAGTAACATTTGGGTAGGTCGATTTCATCTCTAGGCCAGATATAATTCTCGATTTTCATTCCTAAAGTCTTTTAGTGCAGTCAAATCACAAATTCATCCTTTTTGAATTTACCAAATCATTAATCTGATTTCACATTCAAATAAGAGAAATTGAATCAAAGCAAAACATTGCACGCTCATGCCTCAATGTCATGGAAAAGATGCCAGTTCATTTCAAGCCAAATATGTTCAAGTACCATATCAGACAATAAATGAATCAATTATTTTGAAAATACAACCTCGCTTAAAATCGAGATTTAACATGGAAGCTATGTTTCTTTGTGAGAAGAGCCAGCAGCAGGATTACAAGGTAGTCTAGACAAAAATGTTTCTAGCAGCCAAATGATCTCCTTGAGGAAACCACCGAGGAAAAGCAAAGGAAATAAAGACTAACTCAAAATTTCTAACAAATTTACTCGAATTAAGTTAACCTACACATACATAGGGACTATTAGAGAACTCATCTGACGTTCAACGTCCACATTTAAGATGCAAAAAGTAATCTGCAAGTCCAAAACTCGGAGTGTCCTGGTGGCAAACTACCCAGCTTCATAATCAAGCCGTTTTCACTTTGCGGGAAGGGGGACGACGAAATAGACTGATGAGATCATCAAGACCCTGTAGAGAGAGATAATCAGCATTAGCAAAGATGTTACTTTCTTGTTTTCATACCTAGTTGTTCATTAATAAGGCATATATATATGGAGCAACTTTTTGCATTTTCTAAATAGAATGAGCAGACAAGTGGGATGGAGAGGGGAAAAAATTCATCAAGGATCATACCTTGGTTGTGATGACTAGAAAACTGAAAAGAACAATCAAGTATGATCCGAGGACTAGCAGCAAAAGCAAGTCGAATGTTACACTGGCAACCTGCAGTATATCATCGTAAATGTCAGTCCATTCATTAGATACATAAACTGCATTGGGCTTTAATTTAGAACCAAAGGATTCAAAAATTGAAGTGACTACATAGACTTCTCATTCCCTCAGACCCCGTGCTCAGTCGAAGAGAGGGATGGCTTCTCTTGACACTAAATGCTTAATGAGACTCGTGTCCGACAAGATACAAACAAAATAAAAAGTAAAATAAGCACCTGATATATATGCAACCTCCCAGTTGTTGTATCATAAAGAGAGAACATTCCATCAAGAACTTCCTGTTGTACATTCACCTCGATGGTATGATCTGCTAATTCCTATCAACAAAAATAAATAAATAAGAAAAATCCTAGCCACAATTAATAACTGAAATTCAAGAAAGGGGGTGGCTTGTGAGATTTAACTTTATTCTACACTTCCGTGTAATTTGTAAATGATGAATATAATCTCACTTAAATTCAAATAGAAGAAATCCATCCCCAAATGGAAAAGAAAAAAAATCCAAAGCCACGAACTGCTTATCGACTACTTAGAAACATCTCGACTAGCTTATGACTACTTAGAAACATCTCGACTAGCTTAACATATCAGAGATGAAAGGTCTAGACACTACATCTCGGCCACTGAGCCAAATCCAGAAATTATGCAGTGTAGAGCATATGTGATTAGTGGTCGAGTTCTTTCACCAAATCAGGAAATTATGAAGCGTAGACATTGAAAGTGGAGTTCACAACCAGAAGGTCATATTTCTTCAAGCAATAAAATAGGAAGTCAAACATTGTTCTGGATGCACCAAGCAGATGACATGGTTGTTGACGAAAAAAATACTGCAGTCCTTTTCTTTCATCATTTCAATGATGCGTGCTTCACTCTTTTTCAATTATTAGGGAGTCTTTGGAGATTTATTCTCTTAAAACATACTGTTGTACTTGAGTAATCAGTTGCCATCAACATTTGCTACGCAAGTTTTTTAATACGGTGAAATTATTAGGAGGCAAAACCTTAGAATTCTTCATATTATATAACCTCTCTCGATTTCATTTTTCTTGCTTCTCCAATATTCCATGCTTGATTACAATAACTTTGCTGGTCTAACTTTAATTTTCTCCTTCTCCTGGAAGTTCACTGTATCATCTTTGCATGTTTAAGAATTCATAATGCTACATTTCTGAGTCATCTCAAATTCAAATCCAACATCGAAAATATAAAGGCAAACTAGGGGAACTATTGCTTTAGCGAAAAAGGGAATCATTTTTTACTATAATCAAAAGCTACAAAAGACAGAGAACTGAAAAAAGAAAATAAAAGATATGCCACTATAAAAGAAAAAATGTAGGATCACAAGGATAAACTATCAGCTTAAATTCAAGTCCTGCAAAATTTACCTTTTTCAGCGCCATGACGAGAGGGTTAGTTTTTGAAAGAAATGGTGCCACTCGAGGTGTTGTTGACAAAAGGTCTAACCATGAATGTATATGCGAAGGATTGACAGCTAAACTACTATTATCCGCAAATATATTGATGTCTTTCCCCTTCAGGTCATAAATATGTCTCTGTATATACAGATGAAACCATTAGGCCATGCAAAATCAATTAATGTATAATATGCATTATCTATGCAAAACCCATTAGGTCATAAATATGCAAACTCATTTAATGTATAATAAACTAGTTCAGTACAATTTTAATCAGAAACTAGCATGGTCAGGATTAAGTGATTTTGGGCATTACTGTGTAAAAAATCTCTCCATGAAATTAACAAGCATGATCTGCTAATTTTACACAAGCTCACTGTTTACGCTCCAAGTTGTCAAGAAATATGCATGTACTCCTCATTTCTACAAAAGTGTCCAAGGCACATATGTGCAAAAGCAAGAAACAAAATGAACAGTAAAAAACATGTGTGGCGAAGCAAGTACTTCAGAAAATAAATTTGAAATTTAAGATCACAACTAACTCTTGAACAATTACCTATTTCTTGAATATGTGCATGGGTAGTATGTGCGTAAATACCTTAGATTAGCACGTGCACTCTAATTAACATGTTACTTGAACAATGATTCATTTGGTTCTGCCTTTAGGCCAACCAGATGAGATCAGATAAACAACAAAGTATATATCACAAACATTCATGCTCCGCAACCACTCAAACCTCAATATAATTTAGCTGTAACTTAAATCAATGAGAAAAACAATAGGAAAGCAGCGGCATCAGTTCAATGTAAGTCCAAATACTAATCCATACATGAGCTCCTCACAGTTATTCCACAACTGAATATTAAGTTATCTTTTGTTTAGATTGACATTTCACATGTCTAGTAACCTAACCTTCAAATTATTCAAAATGAAATCAAAGATCAGTTAAATCCAGAAAGTGAGGGTAGAAAAAGATCTAGAACATCTTTCGATTGAACATACCGCTATCTATCTATTCTAATAGGAAATCTATCATAATATACCACAACAGTATAGTCCAGATGAAAACAGAATTAAAGCATATTTACAGCCAAGAAGTGCATTTTTTGACAAGCAGCTTCATTTGTGCGGCCATTCATAACTTGCAGGTGTGCAAGAACTAGAGAATTTATTTATCTTCATTTACAAGGACGGGGCAGCAGAGTAAGGGAGGAGTGGGGTGAAGAACTGTGCACATTTCTACAGAACATTACACCCAAACAACAATAGGATTCTACCCTAGAGAACATTAACTGAGATATCTTACCGCCAGACTTTCAGCAACTAACTTGACACTTCGACTTATTGAAGCTTCATCAACAAAATGTCTGAACAGAAAAATCTGAAATTTAGGAAATGGCAAATCATGCAAAAAATAATAATTCAAGAAAAAACTATTTTTGGTGCCGAATTGCAACCTGTTATCTGATAGACCTCCAGTGTTTTGCAGCAATTCAGGTGCAACAGATAGCTCAGAGAGTGTTACAGCTGTGACTCTCAGTCTCGAAAATTGCTCGTGCTCCCAGGCCACCTAAATTACTTAAAAAGCTTTAGCAGTGAAACTAAAACAAGATAGCTGCCAATTAAAAATAACGACAACTGTCCCCGCAACTTCAAGCTGATCATATCAACTAAAAATATCATGATAATTTTGCTTCTACTACAGCAATCTGCATCTTAATAGAAATATTGGGAAACATAACTTTGTAATCGAGATATCATTGTTGTTGTAGAACTAAGAGAAGGTGGTAGCTTATCTTTTGAAAACACAAAAATAAAACCAGGTTTACTTCTGAACTGTTTATGCAAAATAAATTGGTGAAAGCACACAAAAAGTTCTCCCAAGAGTCACGTAACTGTTACGGATTACGCGTCTCAAAAGGGTCATCAGTTGTTTTTCCCAATATGGTTTAATCAACTATTGGTACCCAATCTTTATAGTGTCTCTCACAATTAAAAAAGCCACATAGAAAGCCTTCTTTTGTTTGCATATTAACTTAAGTAATAAGTTGGAAAGCTTTATTTTCATGCATACTGCATTAAGAAGTCAAACATATGAGCTCTTTGCAAACATTTTAAGGCATCATAAGTTAGGAAGAAGAGGTTAGCCGCAATGAATGCATAGAGCAGAACAGTGTTATTCTACTCCATAAAGGGAAGAGAAGAAATCCATAACTGCAGTTATTCAAGTCATCAAACAAGAAGAAATTAAATCTTTATAATCAATAATCTATCACTTTATTCAAAGAAAAGCTGTTCATAAAGTTGAACCGCAGCAAGTGCACAAGACAAAACTACCTAGATTCTCCACTTGCTAAATATAAAAAAGACATTTTATACACAAATATCTCACCATAATTCAGTTCCTCCCTAAACAGATCCATAGCCACGCAACATGCTACTTATGCTAACCACAACAAAAGAAGGCAATAGTGGTTCCTAGGGATGGTAAAACTCATATAATGTAATACTTATGCACTGATCCTCATGCATAAAATGAGAATGAAAATATCATGTGTGATTCTATCCTAAAATTGTATTGGACAATATCCTAGATTTTTGTTCAGTCTCCCTAAGCCATGTTCAAAAATTTTAATAGAGCTTATAAATTCATCTGTCTCAGATGTTAAGCACTAGAGCTATATAAGTTTTTTGATAAAATAATATCAAATAAAAAGCATTTTAGGTATTGCAATTCAAACACCAACACATCTACTTACTCGAGTGTTAGAGATGTTTATCTTTTTGTGTTTCAGGCCAACTTTGAGCCCCAATTCTTCTGCTACATTAGAGAAACCCTGCAAATTCCACTCAATGAGCCAGAAATCGGCACAGCAGATGATTGTGTTTGAAAATAAACCCATGTCTCTATTGCTAGAAAGTTACTTTGCCAACCTCAAAAATTTGCTTTATGTAAGCATTTTCTGGAGGCTTGGAAACATGAATCCATAGATCATTGTTAAATGAGCCAATGCTATTCAAGCAAACAGCATAATCAATAGTCTCGCGTTGACGCTGATCCAAACTCCTAAGCCACTACACAAGTTAAAAGATAAGATCATAATAATGAGATGGCAACAAATGTAAGCACATAGAAGAAAAGAAAAAGGTTCTTCGAGTAGGCACCTTGTAAGTTCCATTATAGTTATAAGGTCCACCAGATGTCAGCCCAAAGAGTAAATTATACCTTCCTCTAGTTTTAGGATTTGAATATAAAATAGAAAACAACCTCGCTATTTCAAGAAGAGCCACAACACCACTTCCATTGCTATCACTTCCCACTGATAACGCCTGTTAACATTAAAAATAACATAAGACCCTGGACCATCAATCAAACAGCAAAAACTAAATAAATAAGTATTTACTGGTGCAGCTCCAAACGTGTCATATGATGCCACTATGGCAATAGTTGGAAGTTGATTTGAATCACCATCAGCTTTCAATCCTGGCAACCACCCCTGACATAGCATGAGAATCATTAATGATGAAAAAATGTCTATGAATAGTAGTGTAGGATTGGCAGAATTACCCCTGTGATAGTTTAAGCCCTATTTGTCTCCCTTTAAAACAACACTTTTCAATTCTCATATTCATTTTCAACCATATATTTACATAATAAAATATTTTGCAAGTAAACCAAAATTTTTTCACAACTTTTTAACCACATATTCTCCAAAATAATCACTGTTCAAAACTCCTTTCTTTTCAAAATAATAGCCATCAAACAGGGGCTAAATGTTCAATCAAATATAACATTGTCACAGGCAACCGTTCATATATGGCTGCCATGTTTGACATTGAAACTTAAACCTCTAGATTGGAAAATCTATATATTAAGCCCGTGTTTGGTCCCCAATTTTTAAAACTCATTTTCAACTACATATTTCAAAGGACCCACAACTTTTCAAACACATATTTCATCAACTTTCATCAAAATCTACTAAAAATCTCATTTTTATCTAAACTAAACTATATGGCCCCAGTCAATCCCAACAGAAAAATAACAGGTTAAGCTTGAACCTGAATATTTACAATGGTTGGAGATGCAACTTTCTTGGGTTCTGGCGCAGCAACGACAAGCTTGTATCTGAAACATATATATTCCATCAAAAGATACATAATAGAGTTAATGTAAAACTTGATTCTTAATTCAACATCTGATATAAACAGATGCAAGTGCAATCTCTGGAGAAGACACCACTGGCATGCAGGAGTCAGGAAGCACCAAAGAGTCATGAAACAGAACATAATAGCCCACAAAACAGCAGATCAAAAGAGAAAAGAAAGGAACTAAAGATATACACGTAAAACTAGCTAGCGGAACTAAATCAGACATTCGTAGTAAATTAAATAATTAGCAATAACAAATTTGGAACTCTCAATATTATAAAAAATTAAAGAAAAAGGTTATATAGATGCTGTGCGGCCAGCTTCACGTCATTTATAATTGAACCGACTGGCAAACTAACAAGCTCAATTGCATGCCTCCTTTCCTGTTCAATTTCAGTGCCTTAAAATTGAACATGCACAAACCAGAAAATGAATCTAGAACGCTCATTATTCCATTCTCTCTCATTTTCTCAAAGTAGAAAAGAATGCATTTAAATTCTGTCAAAATTTTCTCAGAATTGTAGCATATTATGGAGCTAATTGATTACAAGAGTTATTGATGCTTACAAATATGGAACAGACCTAGAAAAAAATAAGACTTCCTATTTTCCCCAAGCATGGACAGTTAAAATCATTTATATTTCTTTGTAATGTAAATTGCAAAAAATATTTGAATAGCTTAGGGTGGCAAGCTTTGGAGAGTAGGAGCAAAGCCATCTTGCTAAATATGACAGAAGGGGACAGGCATACATAATGAGCATACAGTTTTTAGCATGAACTCTGACCTTATATTAAAAAATGCACCGGTCTAAGTGCCACTTTCAAGAGAGGGATCAAGGATTAGGTGATGGAAGGCAGACCACATAAAACAGAAATAAAACAAAGTTCTACTAATCCCGTTCTTCTTATTCTCAGCAACATATGATATGTTAGATATGAGGAATGGGAGTGTTTCCAATTCTAATGATTTCTTAAAACATTGTTTTCAAGTGTAAAGACTAACCCGCCAGTTGTGGCAGTCGCCAGTTGACCAGTAGCATCATTCTTCTTGACATCAGCTAGCACAGTATTAATACTATCATCCTCAAAACCAAAGTAAACTGGATACTGAAACATAAGATGATAGTTGAATCAAATTCAGATACATAAGATTGACAGATAGAGCATGAAGTGTTTAAGTCAATAAAGAAGATAACACACTACTTTATGAGTCACATATTAAACTAATAAGTCAGACATTACTAAAAAGCTATAACTTCAAGCGTGCTAGTCCTTGTATTCACAGGTGATCCAAGTTATACATTTCAGAATCCATGAACAGAATTGCATTCCCTTTATGCTCTCTTTGAATGAACAGGTGGAAGTAAATAAAAATATCTTAATCGTGAAGTATGCAAATAATCTCTAGATAAAAGTACAACGAAAATGCCAATATGGACGCTTTTCACAGCCAACAGAAAAAAGAGCCACCGATTAAATTCGAAGAAAGTAATTGTTTCACTTACAGGGGTGTTGGCATGTATGAGTAACTGCTCTAGTTCAGCCAATACTTCTTTCATAAGGTCTTTTGCAGAATCATGATGAGCTCTACCCACACTTTCTGAGTAAGGACTAAAAGCTGGGGGAAGTAGAAGCAATAGACCGCCTAATGGCTTTCTATGCGTAATATATTCTGTCATAAGATTGTCAACAAAAAGATCACTCCAACTCAGAAGATAAAGATTATGAAGATATAAAAATGACTACAAAGTAGAATGTAAGGTAGTTGAAACATAGAAACTAAGCCTATGTTTGGCTCATGTTTATAAGTTGTTTATAAACAATCAAACTACTTTTTATCTACACATTTAGAGGGACCCACAAGTAGTACCCAGTTATCCCCTAATCATTTCTACCTATTTATAATTTAAACCCTTTTATAGGCACTTCCAAAACACGCTTTAAAATAGACAGGGGAGCAGATTTTTGTTTAATGATGGTAGTGCCCTTATGAAATGAAAGCACGAACTGAAACACAATTGAAGATCAAGACTTGTTTTAAATTTGTGAACTGAAAAATATACTGAGAAGGTTTTAAAAACGGGAGGAAATATATTTTTCACTTATTTTGAATTCAAAACCATTTAACCTAGAGGTCAGTTCACATAAATGTGCCAATAAGTGGACTGAAAATAGATAAATCTTTTACGACAGACTGGTAGGTTGTATCATATACAAGCTCCAAATGTACATCAGCTAGTGCACATGGATTCACAACTTCTCAGTCCAACACTTGCATCATATTATCTAAACTCTCGTATGTGATTTTTTTCAGTTAATCTTATCTTCAGTGCAGATGCACGAAGTATCATTATGCTTCCACTCACTCTTTAATAATTTCATTATGTAAAAAGTTTTCACATATCAGCTAAAATGACCTGTACAACCCAGACTACCTACTACAAGTGCAGTCCAACTCCACAAAAACCTCTCAAGTATATCCATATTTGGTGTACTAGGTCGTATTCATACTCAAAGAATGACTTGTCAAAACTGAAACTCCTCCATTTATGAGGTGCAGGTATAGATCCTCGGCATTAAAAAGTATTCATATTCACAATGAAACTCTTCTATGAAATCCTTATGACCATATATCTGCGGGAGGTTTTTCAAGCTAGTTATGAGAATCAAGCAAAAATCTTGCCTAAGAGCAAAAGGAGTTGATTTTGGCTACTAAATGTGTATTCAATCAGAATGGAAGCAAGTTAAATATTTGTCACCTACTCACCTTAGCATTCATTTAATATCTTTATTGTTGGAAATAACAAGTTAGCCATTATTTTTATAGATAACCACGTTTCATGGATGAAGAGGCATAGAAAATTAGCAACTGAAGCTTCAGGCCTCTGCTTAAAACTAGAAAAAAAATCATACAAGTGCTGTCACTACAACCTTTTATCCCAATATTTTAAAATAAAACAGTTCCATTTAGCATTCAAGATGAAAGTTTCGGTCCAATAGTTACTGACCGCACTTCCGATAAGAAGATAAAGATAAATGATGTGGATAAGATTAAATATAACTTCATACCCAAATCAAAATTCAAGTTCCAGTCCACATTACACAACAGAGAGCAGATTGGGGTAGGAGGAACTCATATCCAATAGATAGCAGAAATGAGGAACTCATATCCAGTGGATCTGCTATCCATCACATGATATTCCCTCTCTTATATCTAATCATAATCCATTCTCCCTCATCTTCGGTATGATAAACATGGTCCAAAGAACCAATTAAAACTTCAAAAACGTAGACATGGTTTCTACTAACATGTGTAAGCATGCATGGAGGTAGGATAAAGTTATAGCTGGTTTAAGAGTAATTATTTTTGCTTTTCAGTCAGTTCATATTGCACTAAATCTGTTGTTGGACAATATATTTTGCCACAGTAATCTAGTATGCCAATATCAACGTGCAAAAGGCATTTCTATTTGATGTACCACTCCTTTCTATGAATAACACTGAAACCAAGAAATTGTACCCAACTTGCCATTCTATAAGCATATTTGGCAAAGCTTAAATTATAATTTAAGCTAGTTAAACGTACTTTTTTTATCCACAAATTGCAGGACCTACAACTTATTGCCCACTTATTATCTACATATTCCGTAGGACCACAATTTATAAGCAATTAAAAAGGCTACCAAATAAGCTCTATATGGGAAATTGTTTATTCGCTAATCAATTTCACCAGAATCATACAGTAGAGCGCTTATCTTTACACGAGATATTTAAAACAATATTGAGGTGCAACAATAATCACCATTACACCTAGTGTCTTGTAATATTGGCATGTGAACAGAAAACAAACTTAACATTTCAGAACACTATATTCCAGTGAAACTACATACAAGAACATATCATAACATGTAGAGTGGAGCATCAGGTAGCTTTGGACAACTAAACTGTGTCACGTCCATTTTTCATAAGATAAAAGGTCACCAGTTAGTTTACTCTCTCTCTCTCTCCCCCTCCCTCCCCACAAACCTCCCCACAATTAGAAACTCAGTGGTCCGGATATACCATAATAACTGAAGCATGAACTAAACAAGTACAATCTTACTATATGATACTTCCATATTGTGGATTTTACAGTTCAATGTCTCGCTACCTTTTTCTCTAGAGTTATTAAACAATTGGAGTAGACTTTTAATGCGTATTGTACAGTATTTTTCAAAATTTTCAGTTGTATTATAGGTGAAAAATGCATTTTCTAGTTTTCAAGTATTTTTCCACCAAGTTTCCCTTCTTATTCACTTTTCAGTACAGTAAGAAAGCTCAATTTCAGCTTCAAAAATGCTGATTGCAGAAAAGCAAAAGCTCACCTTCTAATAATTCAATGTCCAACAAATAGATAGGAAGTTCGGAAGTTTTATTGCTGACTAAAAAAATCAGTAATGAACTCAACTAAAATTTAGCTTGCATCAGCATTTGCAAAGCAACTAAAGAAACTCTCTTCTGAGTTTCCTTCTATATTATCCCGCAATCTACCTGTAGTTCTACACAGCTCCAAAAATCCACACATTTTTTCTTACATAAAAAAATAACAAAAAATTTAAGTTTCAACTAAGTATTCGCTCAGAACAGCTAATTTTTTTTAATCAACAAAAAAAACAGTTAATAATTCTGAACTTCCATTAATTTTCATCGAGTTGAACATACGCTAATAAAACAAGAATTCAAAATTGATTAAGAGAAGCAAAGTTTGGACCTTTAATGAAGGTAAGATTCAATTCGCGGACGGGAAGGATGAGAACAGTGCGGGAGAGATCCGCGGCAGCCCCAGACGACGAAGAAAAAAGCGAAGAACCAGCGTGATGGTTGAGTGACGCGAGTCGAGATCCGAACGGCACGCCTCCAATATCGTACTGTACAAGCCGATACACATCAACCACCGTTACGGCGTCGCAAATTTCGACGCAGGCCATCACTAATATCAATAGCGTGATCATTGAAGAGTATACGGGGTCGATTAACACTGATGAGGGTCTCGGATTTTGAACTTTCTTCGGAGAATTCGCCATTGGAGCTT